TCATACAATAAAATATAGCATCACGTCTTGACCATGTCACATCACAACATGCCCTGCAAAAACAAGTTAGACGTCCTCTACTTTGTTGTTGCAAATTTTACGTGGCTGCTACGGGCTTAGCAAGAACCGTTCTTACATACGCATCAACACCACAACGATAGTTCGTCAAGTTAGTGATGTTTTAACCTTCGCAAGGACCGGGCGTAGCCACACTCGATTCAGCTAAAGTGAGAGAGACAGACACCCGCCAGCCACCTTTAAGCACGAGTGCTCGTAACGGTGAAACCAGTCTCGCGTAAGCGTACGCTTAATGTCGGTCTGGGCCGCTTCATCTCACAATACCGCCGAACCAAAGTATGACATGCTGGTAAGCAGTATGACTTGTATCGCCCATAACTCACTTGTGTTCTACTCGTGCATATGACATCTACGCATAAAACCAGGCTCGGATGCCACTCTTGGGGAACGTAGTAATTTCAAAAAAATTCCTACGCACACGCAAGATCATGGTGATGGCATAGCAACGAGAGGGGAGAGTATCGTCCACGTACCCTCGTAGACCGTAAGCGGAAGCGTTATGACAACGCGGTTGATGTAGTCGTACGTCTTCACGATCCGACCGATCCAAGTACCGAACGTACGGCACCTCCAAGTTCAGCACACGTTCAGCTCGATGACGATCCCCGGACTCTGATCCAGCAAAGTGTCAAGGATGAGTTCCGTCAGCATGATGGCGTGGTGACGATGATGATGTTCTACCGGCGCAGGGCTTCGCCTAAACTCCGCGACGATATGACCGAGGTGGAATATGGTGGAGGGGGCACCGCACACGGCTAAGGAACGATCACGTAGATCAACTTGTGTGTTCTAGGGTGCCCCCCTGCCCCCGTATAAAAAGGAGCAAGGGGGGGTGCAGCCGGCCATAGGAGGAGGCGCGCCGGAGGAGTCCTACTCCCACCGGGGGTAGGACTCCCCCCTTTCCCTAGTTGGATTAGGACTTGGGGGGGAAGGAGGAGAGGGGGAAAGGAAAGGGGGGGCGCCCCCCCCCCCTCCTTGTCCTATTCGGACTTGGGGGGAGGGGTGCACGGCTGCCCCTATGCCTCCTCTCCTCTTCCTCCACTAGGCCCAATAAGGCCCATTAGTTCACCGGGGGGTTCCAGTAACCTCCCGATACTCCGGTAAAATGCCGATTTCACCCGGAACACTTCCGATGTCCAAACATAGGCTTCCAATATATCAATATTTATGTCTCGACCATTTCGAGACTCCTCGTCATGTCCGTGATCACATCCAGGACTCCGAACAAACTTCGATACATCAAAACTTATAAACTCATAATAAAACTGTCATCGTAACGTTAAGCGTGCGGACCCTACGGGTTCGAGAACTATGTAGACATGACCTAGAACTATTCTCGGTCAATAACCAATTGCGGAACCTAGATGCCCATATTGGCTCCTACATATTCTACAAAGATCTTTATCGGTCAAACCGCATAACAACATACGTTGTTCCCTTTGTCATCGGTATGTTACTTGCCCGAGATTCGATCGTCGGTATCCAATACCTAGTTCAATCTCATTACCGGCAGGTCTCTTTACTCGTTAAGTAATGCATCATTCCGTAACTAACTTATTAGCTACATTGCTTGCAAGGCTTATAGTGATGTGCATTACCGAGAGGGCCCAGAGATACCTCTCCAACAATCGGAGTGACAAAACCTAATCTCGAAATACGCCAACCCAACATGTACCTTCGGAGACACCTGTAGTACTCCTTTATAATCACCCAGTTACGTTGTGACGTTTGGTAGCACCCAAAGTGTTCCTCCAGTAAACGGGAGTTGCATAATCTCATAGTTACAGGAACGTGTATAAGTCATGAAGAAAGCAATAGCAATATACTAAACGATCAAGTGCTAGGCTAACAGAATGGTTCATGTCAATCACATCATTCTCCTAATGATGTGATCCAATTAATCAAATGACAACACATGTCTATGGTTAGGAAACATAACCATCTTTGATTAATGAGCTAGTCAAGTAGTGGCATACTAGTGACTATATGTTTGTCTATGTATTCACACATGTATCATGTTTCCGGTTAATACAATTCTAGCATGAATAATAAACATTTATCATGATATGAGGAAATAAATAATAACTTTATTATTGCCTCTAGGGCATATTTCCTTCACTCCTTGCCTGTATGGAGGGCCTGAACCTGGCTTTGCAGTGGACGCAGCAGCCCGTAGAATTGGAGATGGACAGCCTCATGGCGCTCAATATGCTCAAGGCAGTGGAGAGGGACCGGTCTTGTTATGCTATGCTTACTGATCAGATTAGGAGACTGCTGGGAGACGGGAGACTAGTTAAACTGGCTCATGTACGCAGAGAGCAGAATGGCATTAGCCATTACCTAGCTGCTTTTGGTAGAATTGAGAAACGTACGGTTGTATGGTTGGGTTCAGGACCAGGTGAGGTGCCTGACTTATGTAAGAAGGAGATTGATCCTGAGTGATAAATGAAAATTATTTTTCACCCGCAAAAAAAACTGACAGCAGAAAATAACAGAATTCTACCCACTGTTCTTGCCAAATCATACAGATCCACTAGGTGCATGCATGATTTAATGTTGGTTTCCTTTATATTTTCTTTGATTACAATTAACATTTATCGTGATCACTAATTAGCAAAAAATCAAACCATACATGAGGTCAAAGACAATTGCTATTCGGACGGATAAAGAGCAAAATACATCACCATTCACTTGATTTAGTACTTCTAAACCCTTCAATTAGGCATCAAAGGATGAGTCCCCTTACTAATGATGACATCTAAGAACAAGAAGGTTAGTTATACCTTTTTTGTGGAATTGTTCAGCTACATGTTGACAGGGAAAACTATGAATATGAGCTTCAGACAGGCATCAATTTGTATCACTCTCAAACATTTGATCAAGCGGCTAGAGCAAGTTGGTTGTCTAAACTCAAGTCAAAATATAGTTTGTACAAAAATAGTGGATGTTGGAACTAGCACAACAATGCAAAACATGAAGGTGATAAGTTTGGATTTAGAAGTAAAAACACCCGATAATCATGAGAACTCTTGAAGCTACTATATGTTAAACATGATTGGAGTTGAACAACTAGAGTATGTATGATCCCCGGTGCAACGCACGGGCACTTTCCTATTTACATACAATTGGTCATAATGTTCAGAATAGGGTTATATCAGCCAATTTTTGTAGATCATATGGCACAACTAGCATCTATTTTAGAAAGGCTCTTCATGCCATAGGCGAGCTTCGTAATGGTTACATAAGGCCACCATCATTGGAGACCCCTGCCAAAATTGCTGGAAATCATCGATTTGACCCATATTTTAAGGTAAATACAGAAACTATTTGCTAGTTATCAAGGCTATATGATATGCCATTTAATACTTGTCACTATATAGGATTGTATTGGAGCTATCGATGGTACACATGTGCGAGCAGGTGTTACCAAAGATGTGGAGCATTCCTTTCGGGGTAGGAAGGCATTCACCACTCAAAATGTGATGGCAGCGGTAGATTTTGACCTACGCTTCACATATGTGTTGGCTGGTTGGAAAGGGTCAGCACATGATGCTACTGTTTTAGCTGATGCATTAACGCGTGAGAGAGGCTTACAAGTGCCAGCGGGTAAGAAGTTGCCCAAGATAGAAAATTGTCCATTTATTATTGCCTTACAAGAAGCATTGTCACCAACCTTTGTTTTATTTTTTTAGGAAAGTTCTACCTAGTTGATGCTGGTTATGGAGCAAAGCCTGGGTTCTTACCACCTTTTCGTGGTGTGAGGTACCATTTGAATGAGTGGGGTAACAATCCAGTCCAAAATGATAGGGAGTTGTTCAACCTTAGGCACTCATCTCTACGGGTCACAGTAGAGAGGGCTTTTGGATCTCTCAAGAGGCGTTTCAAAATTTTAGATGATGCCAAACCCTTCTTCACTTTCCCGGTGCAGGTCGACATTGTTATAGCTTGTTGTGTTCTTCATAATTATGCATTGTCACAAGGGATTGATGAATTTATTATACTGGAAGTGACATGGACCACACAACCAATTCGAACAACAAGGCAACAAGCAAGTGACCATAGGGCCACGGTAGACCATAGGCTACAAATTGCCGCCCAAATGTGGGAAGATAGGCAAATCATGTATGTAAATTTAAGAGTGTGTGACACTCTATGTATCATGTATCATTTATTGTGTTCAAACCATGTATTTGCAGTGTTGAAACCATGTATTTGTAGTGTTGAAAGCATGTATTTGTTCAGATTTAATTAAATTTGTTTGCTGGTTTTGATGGCTGGACAGATTGCATCATTTATGATATTGAAACCATGAATTGTAATGTTTTAGTTCATTTTATTGGTTTGTTTTGATGGCTGGACAGATTGCATCATCTATGATATTGAAACCATGAATTTGTTAAACTATAATCCATTTTTTGCAATCTTTTAATGTCTTGACAGAAATGGACAATACTGAAGTCACCGCTGCAAGTGGGAACTCCGCAAAGAGTGGGGTCATTGTATGGACCCCTGCCATGACCAACACGATGCTAGGGTTTTTGGCCGATCTTGTTGCTAAAGGAAAGAGGACTTCTAGTGGGTTCAGGGAGGCACATCACAGACAATGTGCTGCTGTTTTGAATGAGCAGTTCAAACTAGCTGTCACTGGAGTACAAGTTCAAAACCATCTCAAGAAGTGGAGGAAGATTTGGGGAAGGGTGGTCATCTTGAAGAATTTAAGTGGAGCTCTATGGGATGAAGATACTTGCACAATTAGGCTTGCCGAAGAACACTATGCAGGTCATTGCATGGTAAGCTTCTAATGCTATGAAGTGATATCATGCCATTTTATGCCTACATTATGCTAATCACTTGCACATTTTTTGTAGGCACACAAAGCCAATGTCCCTTTCTTGAATACCCCAATTGAACACTAACATGCTATGGCAACCATCTTTGGGACAACCGCGGCTTCGGGGATGAATGCTAGGTCTGGGAATGATCTGCTCTCTATTGATGTGGAAGATGAGGAGAATAGTGAGGTGAACACATCACCAAATGTTGCTGAATCCTCTCACCCCAAAGGACCACCAAAAAAGAAGGCCAAGGTAGTGAAAGTTCTTGAAGATCCACTAGTTACCACTCTCAATTATGTGTTCAAACTTGTGGTTGATGCTCTTATCAAGTCTGAGGATGATGATGATATACCCGCTGAACTTTGGGATGAGGTCTGCAAGTTGGGAGAATTTGATGAAGAGCACCTAGCCCACTACTATGCTCATCTTGTTGACAATCCGAAGATCGCAAAAGCCTTCATGACACTTTCCCAAACCAACAAATCTGTTTGGGTGAGTAGGTACGTGAAGAACTTCTAAATTCGATATGGTTGTATGGTTTTCAAGTATGTGAACTTGACATGTATGGATGTAGTGCCATTTGGATGCTTTTGGATATTTGGTATGTGAACAACATGTATGGCTATAGTGCACTTTGCTTTGGATATTTGTATGCGAACAAGACATGTGTGTTGGCTGATTGCTTTTGGATGTGGCAAATGAACTTGCACCCTGATTGCTACCTTATGATATTGTTGCTGAAAATTGTGTTATATGCCAATATATATATTGTTATGTTGTTTTTCTTCAAAATACAAATGAAATGCTGCTGAAATTTTCAATTTTGTTTATTCCATTTTTCATTCCATGCTTTCCAACCAAACACTATAACGGAACCATCCCGTTTCACTTTTTTGCTTGTACCAAACACAGAAACGGAACTGACCCGTTCCTCTGAAATGGAATCATTCCATTCCATGACAGTTGGTTCTTCAACTAAACACACCCTTGTACAACTCGTCCCACCAGAACCAGATCGATCGCCACGCGAAAGCTGATCAATGTTGACGGGTTCGGCCAGTTTGTCAGCGCTGAAAATACGCCATGGAAACCACTCGCAAGCTGACTGACTGACTGTACCGACCGACTAAACTACGTGCAGTGGCAGCGATCGAGACGACGACATGCACATTTTATATACTCCACTATGATTGCAGTATACTATCGGCAATTCGGCATGGGATTTAGTTTAATCAGATGGCGATCGAGCTCAGGCGAGACGACATCCCATGAGGCATTCCCTCGTAATCGAGTGCCCCCAAAGATTTCGGAGTGTCACGGATGGCGATGGGCTCCAGCCGCCACTCGACTGCTTCCACTAAACACTCGGTAATAATCTAATCTATTGGCCCTGGACTATGTATGGATGGCTGGATCATGGATTGGATGGATAGGTAGATCTTGATCCGTTCTTTTGCCTAACTAGAGTTAAATTGCAAAAAACATCGACACTTTAGGCAAGGTTTGCAGGAACCACACATTTACAGAATTGTGCCAAAAAGCACTAATTTTTTTTCATAATTTTTTGCAAAAAACACTAGTTGGCGGCTTTGATCGTTTTGATGACGATTATGACATGTGGGTCCTGGAAATTATGACGTGGCGTAACGGTTCGCAGGTGAAGCCGTTAAATAGGGGATTTTACACCGACGCCCTTCTTCAAAAACTTAAAAAGCAATCAGCCCCCTCCTCCTCGCGTCTTCTCTCCGGCCCCCTTCCCCACCGGAGCAGCAGCTACCGCGGGCGCCGGAGCACCGGCAGCAGCAGCAGCTTTTGCGGGGGCGAAGCTGCTGGGGGAGCTGACACCGGAGCAGCAGCCGCGGTGGCCGCGCACGGGCGTGAGCATCAGCCGCGGTGGCCGCGGATGGGCGCAAGCAGCAGCCCTGGCGGCCGCGAGCTGCAGCCGCGCCGGCCGCGGCCAGTCGGCCATGCTGCAGGGCGGGGGCGATGGAGGTCGATCCGGTGGCGGCCAGCTGGGGCAAGGGCGGCGGCGGGCAGCGTGCCCGCGAGCTCGGACCCGGGCTTCCGGTGCCCATGCGTGCTGGCACCTTGAGGGGCTCGGCGTCGGCCTCCTGATGCAGACGCCGGGACATGCTTGAAGGCTGCAGTGAGCGGACCAGAGAAGACGCACCACGAGCCCGTGCACGTGCTCGGACAAGGCGAGGTAGCATGGAACGGCGAGTTGAGAAACAACGACGACCACCGGGGCTCGGAGCTTGTCGGCGAGGGTGCAGGAGGAGGCGGAGCTTGACGCTGGGATGTCCAGGAGGTCGGCGTTGACGCTGCGGACCAGACGGTGTCTAGGATGAGGACCGAAGGAGTCTGCCGGTGGCTAATTTGATGGTGGTGCGCCATGACCGAGGTTGGAGAGCAAGGTCGCTGCCGACGGCTATGGCGTGTCCCTGGCTCAGTCAATGAAGCAGGAGTGAGAGGGAGACAGGGCGAGGCGGATGCACATGATGCTGAAGCTCGTGGTTGTCTCCAGCCACATCAACGACAAGCGACGGCCATGGCGGTGCTCGGTTTGGTCCGATGTTCCTGATCCAGAGGTGTACGACCCGAGGCCGGTGGCGGAGGCAAGGTCCGGCCGTCCTATGCGCAGGAGTGTTTTTTCAGTTTGACCGCGGGTGTTCTTTTTTGAAGAAGTGAGGGAGTTTTTGGTAAAAAAGTATCTCTAACGACCTCTAGCATCATCAGTTATGCCACGTCATCATTTCCGGGACCCACCTGTCATAATCGTCATCAAAACGACCAAAACTGCCAACTAGTGTTTTTTGCAAAAAATTATGAAAAAAAAATTAGTGCTTTTTGGCACAATTCCGTAAATATGTGGTTCCTGCAAACCTTGCCTGAAGTGTCGATGTTTTTTGCAATTCACTCGCCTAACTAGGTCAGGGTCCACTGGAAAGTTGAAAAGGGCTTGAAAATGGTATATGCCTGTTGAAATGATCTTCTTTTAGGGGAAATCATCTTTCTAATCCAGTCATGCATCCAGGACGCAGTCCGCATAATAAAGCAGTTTGATCGTGTACCGATCACGTAGACGGTCAGCAGCACTTTTCACCACACATGAAAATGCAGTAAATTCAATTATGCTAATGGGCATAATAACAATCTTATCTCTGACGTTTCAACGGTCTTGCAACATTTAGCTGAGAACGTACGTACGTATATCTTGAGGTCAATCTTTCCAGTCCTGCTGACTACGCAGCCACAGGAGATATATATGTACAAGAAAATGGCTGATTTATGATGGCAGCATGATCTCACCTTGCGGTAAGCACCCACCGTACAATTGTTTAACACTTCCACGCCAGATCGATCCCGCTTATACAAAAATCCAAAGCTCTTCATGTGACACTACGCCGTTTGACTTATGCCACGTGCTCCTTTTTCAATAGCATCGGTCGTACACGACCCCGGAATAGATATACGAACCGGTCTAGCTAAGGTCCAACGACAAGGACACACTTGGGTTGAGATTAGCTAAGCGGGCATTATTAGTGGAAATAAACTACGCAGTTCGTTCCTATCACATGACATGCCACCATGCACGACAGACGGATTCCTTCAGGTACGCCTAGCCCGAGCGCCCGCGCCCCCCGTCAGCCTCGCCGGTGGCGAGCCACTAGGAGCCTCCACCGCCCCGCTGCCTCGCCGAATACCGCCGCCCCGCGCCAGCACCTCGCCTCGCCGTCCGCCGCTATGGGAGTCCAACTCCGAGCTCCTCTGCGCCCCCACCAAGCCTCCTCGTCGTCGTCTGGCCCCGCCGGACCGGGATCCGCCCCCTCCATCTCGCCCGGTGCCGCCCCTCGCCGTCTCGCCGCCGCATCGCCGGAGACCCCGCCGGCGCGGCCTCCCTCGTCCGCGCACGCATGCAGGCGCACGCGAAGCCGTGCCTTCACACGTGGGCCGGCCCCGCCCCGGCCCAACGCGTCTCCAAGGCCCAGCCAGCCAGCCTCCTCGCAAACTGGGCCAAGCCCATGGTGAGCCCCTGTTTTCCTCGCCATGGGCGATGCATCAGTACATTGCGCTCACTCATTTTCCTATAATTTTTGTGATTGCTATAATTTTGTCCTTGTTGATCCTATGGAGACGTGTAATATATGCAAATGATCTACCCTCTGTGCTCTTGATGATGGTTGTTTTTGCATTCATGTTAGGGATCATCTTCATGCCACAAATTCTGTTGCAAAAGTGCTTGTTGATGTTAAATGTTGAAAGCTGATAAAAATTGCGATTTTGTCTTTTTCATATCTTTTTGTATGATTTTCTTTTGAGCAACTTGCCTACATGTTTCAAAGCACAATCATGTCATCTTTGCAATGGTGTGATCCATTCTTCATGATATGCACTGTAGTGACTAGAACAAGCTTGCCAAGTGGCCTACTCGTTGTTTGCTGTTTTCAGAGACTTAGTAATTTCTGGTAAGTCAGAATCTGTTATATTATGACGCCATGCTTGATGCTAGCATCAAATCTATGCATAATATGGAGATGTTCAGTACTCATGTTTTGAAGACCATGTTATGCTCTATCCATTCATGCCTTTGTTTGCATTTATAGCCTACTATAGCTTGTTGTTTTCATACTCTCAAATTGCTTGAAAATGTTGTTGTCAGTCTATTAACAGCATGTTCCATTTTGCAAAGCTCATTGTAATTAATATATGCATCTTATAAATTGTGCCACTGGTTTAATTGGAATTATGCCATGCCTACGTCATGCTTATGACCTTTGCATAATTATTAAAATTGCTATGCTTACTATTGTGTGCCTCCAAAGTCAGCATCTTAATGTTATTGTTGGATTCCCATATTTTCACTAAGTCTGAGATATGCTATTTCATGTTTGCATCTTGTCTTGATGAATGCCATGAACTTGTTGCTCATATCATGAAGTCTTGAGCTCCATGATATGTAATAGCATGCTATGCCTTTTGATGCCATGTTCAAGCACTGTAGCACACTTGTTTCATGCCTCCAACATGCCATCATATTAACTCTGCTCATGTATATGCCTAGTTTTCTACAGTCATGAATCTGTAACAGAACTTTGCATTATGCATTGATCATATTGGTTTAATCCTGATGCCTATGTACCTGAACCTTAATGATATTTGAAGCATGTAATCTGTACTTGAAATACATATCAGGTTTGTGCCCATATGTTTCCTGTAGCATGTTGTTTCCTTGCTTGTAATATGCCTACTTGCTATTTTGAGCAGTTTGTCTTTTAAACTTGTTTCGTGTGTATGTGTTGAACCGTTGCTCCGTTTTGATCATGTACTATATGAAACTTACTTGGTTTTGCATGTAGTTTCACCATGTCATATTGTATCCATGTTTTGGAGTGTTTGTGATTGTGTTTTGCTTGCATTTGCATCAATGCCATGTGCCGATCACCGGTCCACCGCCACCCGCCGGTGCCGATCGGCGCGCCGAGATCGCGCGCATCCGATCCTCGCTGCCGGAGCAGGTG